GTATGTATGTATGAATGCATGCATGCATGTGTATTTTCTATATGTATTTATTTATGTTTATTTTATATCCACACACACACACACACACGCTCGGTACCCCCTCCCCCCCATATGTCTGTGTACTTAGACTATGGGCACGAGTTGTTTGCGTCTGCGCTGCCACCCTTTCCGATTTCTCCGACCAACTTCCCCGAAGCAACGATGCCGAGGTGATTGTTGGCTGCTGCCTTCTGTGGAACAGCACCTGGCCAGCATGTGCCCACATGCAGAAGCTCCACATTCACTGCTTCAATGATGCCTCGAACCAACATTGAAGTGAACTTAGGCTCTTGTTTCATCCGACAGAAACATGTTGAAAGCTTCGAGCCTTCAGCTTGTACTATAGTTTGACGCACGAACTTGTAAGGGTACAGTAACAGCAATGCCCACATGACGGGGTTCTGATGTTGTCCGGAGTTTCTCTGTGAATCTGATGCCCCTAAACCCTAAACCCTAAACCCAAAGCTTGGCCGACCAGGCTGGGCCTGCAACCCTGAAGGACACACCTGGGAACGAAGAGGGGCAATTACCCAACCCTTCAAGCAGCAAAGTCCGCAAGCCTTACAGCTCAAGGAGCATCTCATACCCCACTTTCTACTGCAGTCTTCCTTCTAATTACAGCTCCTCGGCACGAGTGTTTGGAAAGAAAGCAACAGAGCCCTGCATGTATTCCAGTATGTCGGTGTTCAGTGCATTTCGCCGACCACCACGCGCATCGTGTATCTGTTGTTTTTGTGTTCAACTCAGCTTTACACCCGTGCTAGATGTGGGCGTGGTGCGAACATGAATACAACCATACATATACTTACGTAGTTTCCCAATAATTACCCAACCTTTAAACTTGTCGGGTTCGTATAATTGAATTTGAAAGTTTAGCCTTTTACTTCCCTGGCTTGTTGGGGAAGTAAGTATACGTAGTTATCTGCGTATATACATATATATATATACACACACTTTGTCTGTCGGTTGACACTTACATGTGTACACAAACACGTTTCTGTGCACGGTATTGACGTTTTGATTTTACATCTGTTTGTGCTGATTTGTATGCGGAGGTTTCCTGTTTCGTTCACCTGCTGGGTTACCTTTTGACATTCAGGCCTTGTCACAGAGCATCAGCCTTCTTGTCCAAATCCATCTCTCCTTCTCTCTCTCTCTCTCTCCTTCTCCCGGTGTCTCTGTCTCTCTTCCGATGGTATGTATCCTCAGAAGACCCTAAACCCTAAGCCTTAGGGCTTAGGGTCTTCTGAAGGACACATACTATCGGAAGGCCCTAAGCCCTAAACCCTAAACCCCAAAGCTGTCGAAACCCATTCTGCGACGGGCCAGGCAGCCTGCTCGGCTTTGCAAGCCCCTCCAGCTGTGCTCAGCACCAGATCCTTGGTCGGACATGTGGCATCCCCCTGATCTTTCGAAAGCTAGCGATGATGAGGATGATCATCTCTGTCATCATCTGCTTCTTGAGCAGACCGGCATGATCATGTTCCGACTTGTCGTGGCTCCGACGACGATGGCGATGCTGGTGCTGATGGCAACGCTGACGATATCTTGGTGTTGTTGTAGTCATGACGACGATTTTGCAGCCTGTTGCTGTTACCACAGACCGGAAGACGTGCATGCCTCCCCCGCCTAAAGACTGAACATAGCTAGAAGTGCCATCCCTCCGGATGGTGTAGAGCCTCAGTGTGAATCATCAAAGTTTCCCACAAAAGGCCCACGCCCCGTAATCTGGGCCTCTTCCGGAAAGCCTCCTTCCTCAGGAGCTCCACGGCTCTGACGAGGTGCATTGTGTTATACTGTATACGGTTTAAGCTTTATGACATGCTGTACAGTACATACTGCATAGTAAATGTTACGCTGCTATATTTATGTTTTATACAGTCTTCACTGTACATTTTATATCGTGAGGTTTATGGTGCAAGGTGTGCAATGTGGATTGACTCGGAACCTGAACTGACTCCGTCTGGTCTTGACATTTCGGATTGCAGGGGACAGGCGAGGATTGCCACAGAAGCCAAGACCTGAAATCTGTCCCAACCAATGTGGGCATGATTAATGTAGGGGCCTAAATAATGACCTATACTATTTTGGGGGTTCCTTTTCATAATTATAGTATAATGGGCCCCAAAACCCTATTCTAATTATTCAGGCCCCTATATTAGCTCCATTATCGTTGACGGAATACCTCAAGCTCGCTCCCAGACCATCCCAGACCTGGAAGGATGAAGAAGATGCCTTGCACTTACAATCTAATGCGACTCTCAAAAGCGCGAAGCTGGAAAGCGTAGACCGCGAAGAACTCTATCTCCGTGATTGCACAGGTCCGCAGGAGCCCGGGCTCCGCTTATTGCTGGAGCCTCCTGTCGAAGTTTGTGCATGGAAGCTTCAAATGAAATTTCAGGATGTTGTACCACAGGAACGTGTGACAATCTTGCATGCCCAAGCTAAACTATGCTAGAAAGACAACACCGCAGTACAAACTACTGTAGCTTGTCCTACTGTTACTATACTACCAGTACTACCACTGCTACTACTACTACTACTACTGCTGCTACTACTACTACTACTACTACTACTACGACGACGACGACGACGACGACGACGACGACGACTACGACAACTACCACTGCGACTACCACCACCGAAAACTGCTACTACTACTGCTTCTCCTCCTCCTCCTGCTGCTGCTGCTGCTGCGCTGCTGCTGCTGCTAGCCTGCGGCACTGCCTTCCGGTGAAGGGGTATGTGGGTCTACGGTACTGCTCTCACGGCAGTTTTGTCTGCTGCCTCCTGACTTTTCCAGAAACTGTCTTTCCTTCAAGGACCCAACATCATGCATACCCGTTTCTGCAAACATGTTGAAGTAAGTTCAAGACTCGGGATGAAAGCAAGTCTCAGAAACCCAATCAACATCCCAATTGCTACCTACAAGCCAAGTGCTCCTTAGCATAAGCCTCGGGCGGCCCATGTGGAGCCTTTCTGAATGAAAATGTGTAGCGGCCTGCCAACCTACTAGGCTTCGGCCGTTAGATACACTACAGGAACCGCCCGAACCTGCAATGTGGGCCATGGTCAAGCTACAGGCCTTTGCGCACTTTGAATCATTCGGACCGCCTCCTAAGCTGATTTCAATATTCGGATCCTCATAATTTTAGTAGAACTGCCCCCTCGAAACCCCTATAAATAGCCCGATACAAGATGGGCCATGTCCTGAGGGTCCGAAAGGCATGCCCGACTCCGACGAAGGTGAATCCTTCCCGCGACCACTCAGCCGTGACCACCGCCGCCGTGGCCCCCAGCTTCTTCAGCAAGGCACATCTATCTTTGTAGGAAAAGACGGCCATGTTAGAACAGTGTGCGGAGTTTAGATCTTCGTTGAGTTTTCGGACGCATGCCAACAACAAGGGAAGGATGCGCAACACCCACATCCAAGTCGCACGGCTCTGGCAGCTCGAATAGGACGGGCTCCATGCCGTGGCCAGTGCTGAGATTGGATCTTAAATGCTGGCTGCCGCAATCCAGAGTCCCGTCGTGTGCAGGTCTTCGCTGCCGGTGCTCAGGGTGCCACCGCTGCTTTCGTCGCCGCTATTCTCTCCGCCATGGCTGAGCCGCTGGCGGGATGGGCTGGGGGCAAAGGTGAGGGGCTTTCGTGGAGATGATGTGAAAGCGATTCGAACCGAAGTTACACCAAGAGTATAGACCGTGTAGACTCTAGACTTTAGACCCACATTCGACTGATGATCCGATTGGGTTCGCAGTCATGTGTCTTGTGTCTTTACTCCTTCTTCTTCTTCACAGTGAAAATGAACTACGGCGTACGGTTCCAGTGTTTGTGCCCATCCCGATTTTTTTACGGTGATTCTGAGACTGGTCTGACTGAAGTTCCACGAGGCCAAACATCGGACGACAAGTTGACGTACTGTAAGCCCCAGGCCCGACCCACAAAAGCCCTAAACCTACATAAAACTCCAAACCTCCTTGCTATGTAGGCGGCAAAAAAAGACTCCAAACCCTCAAGCCCTGAAGCAGAAGCCCGTGCACCCTCCGACGATCAGAGCCGCCGCCGTAACTCAAGCTCCCTCCTGCTCCCTCTTTGGGGGGTCCTGCTTGGGACCCTCCGACTCCTGAACTTTTGAGGTCACCACCTAAGACTCAGGGCTAATGTAGGGGCCTAAAGAATTATCAATGTTACTTTGGGGGTTGCTTATGCTAGATATGGTATAAATTACGGCTCTAGGGCATATCAGGGTTTATAGTGTTGAAGTGTTGAGTACCCAGAAGTGCTGCAAGCTTTGAACGCAGGTGAATCGCCTGCTCGTCAAGCGAATGACGGTTGGCGAGGCACTGAAGGTGCGACGACGGCAGGGTTTTCCAGGGTTGTCGACCCAATGTTTGGTATCAGCACGTTGTGTGTCTCGCGCTGCACGGCAAAGCTTTGAGCAATCTCAGGATTTCTCTTGGCCATGGGCTTGCACCCTGTTGGTACTTCAATCCCTTAACCTCAACCTCCTCCCTCTCCGAACTGGCCCATCGAAGTCCTGGCAGGAGATGAACTTCAAGCTCATGGCTAACTTCTTCTTGCGCCTTGGTTGCCAGGCCTATCGCGTTTTGGTGTTTGCCATTTGTGTGTGACATGCGACGGGCTGGATGAGATTGTGTGTGCTTCTAGTTGGTTTCGTACTATATCTATATCTGTGTATGTAAAGCCGTGCCAAACGGCTAATACTCATCGCGTCAAGTTCTCTGTGTGTGTGTGTGCCATGAGGTTAAGCATGCGCAACCTGCAAGGGCCGACACAGGATGGTGAATTCATGAAGCTAGGATTCAAGCTTGACATAACCAACCACATGCTCCAAACTGGTGGAAAACTGTGCTTCCGTGAGGACCACATTCCCGACCAACATGCTGAAGTTCCCGATTTTCGAGATCATCAACATGGCTGCTTGTCTAAGGACTATTGAACTTGCTGAAACGACCAATGATCATCCCAAGCCACAAGAGTGTTAATGCTCCAGAGCAAACAGAGAAAAGATCGAAGAGCATTCGCAAGTTCCATTACGCTGATGGTTCGCTTCTTGGGAAGTCTGGACTCTCAAAGCATTGTAAAGGCTCCCAGCCCAACATCGATCCGTGTTCTCCAGGCCATGTCTTTCACAGCCGTCAGCGCGGGCTTGAGCGGCACCATCAGTGGGTCCCTCGGCCGCATGAGACCTGCGGGCTCCTAGCTGCATGATGAGCCGTGTCTTCAAACTGTGATCCGAGGATTCACGCCTTCAAGTTTTCAGGCTCTACCCATAGGCCCCATAGTAGTTCCTTTTTGGGGTTCATATTTACAATCCTATAAGGTAATCCCGAAAAGGAACTACTATGGGGTCTGTGGGTAGGCCAGAGCCTCCAGGTTGTACTTCGTGTTTTTGGACACCGACACAAGGGCACGACAAGGAGGCAGAGCGAACTTGCAGCTTCGGCGCCTCCAATCCCAATCCCATCCAGGCCAACGCTGCTCTTCTCAGCTCCAACTGTCGTCATTGAACCCTTATATAAATCGTACAAAGCTGGTGGCCCTGGTAATTTTGCTGCGGGAATGATAGCATCGGAGTACTGGCTCCCAGAAGCCCCCTCTATTGGTCCCTGTAGCTGTTGCGAGGTTCCTGTTCTGCACCGCCATGCTGCCTGTTACCAACTACCGCTTCCGTGGCTTGGTGGTTAGCAGACTCGGTTGTAGCACAGAAGTAGCAAGCGGAGAGTGACAAGTGTCGTTCCCTTTGTCAACGAACCACCTACTTCTACCTTTTGTGTGTGCTTAAGTGTATTAAGCTTGATCCCCGAAGCCTGGGCCTACGCAAACCTCAAGCTGGAATCACCGAAATCGGCGTCGCCTGGAGTGTCCGAGTGTGAGTGCTGAGCCTTGATCATCGTGTGCCTCCTCCAGTCTACGTGATGCCCAGAGCAGGGCAATCTGCGGCAACTTAGCCCTTCGACCCTCAACTCTGAACCTTTGTAAGTCCTCCTCATAAACCCTATACGCCCTAAGCTCCTAAACCCTAAACCCTATAAACCCCCCACCCTAAACTCTATAAACCCCTAAACCCTAAACATCCCTAAACCCTATAAACCCCTAAACCCTGTAAACCCCGAAACCCTATAAGCCCAGGCATGTCAATGTACCCTGCAATGCGGGCTCGTCCTTGCTAAGTAGGAGGCAAAAATAAGCCCAGGCAAGAGCATGGGATGGGAGATCAAGCCTGCCCTCCTTTACCAGGCCTCGCGTGAGTTGTCTCTTATGCTTTGCCTCAGACGGTTTAGGGTTCAGGGTTTAGGGGTTAGGGGTTAGGGTTTATACAGGGCTGTCATTCCGCCGATTTGCCGGTTCAGGGTTGAAAAGCTGTGGTTGGGAGACTGTTCCGAGGCTTTTGACGTTCTTGGGGTTCTATGGCCTGCATGGTGAGCCACCACGGCTTGGCAGCAGGCTTGGGTTGTGGGGCACGGTCGGGCACCGGGCTCCTGACGATACCTGCCACACCACTGACGTGGAGATTTTTTATTCTATTGCATGTGCTTTTGGTCCTTCGGTAGGCTGCTTGTACCTGAAGGGCTCAATGGAAAGAATATCGAAGGCAGCAGATGATGCAAGCTTGCCCGATGGATGCTAAAAGGATCCGCAGTTTTGGTTGCGGCTTCCCAGCTTGCCGACGAAACGAGACAGAGACATGAGCTTTGTGGCTTTTGTTGCCGCTTTGGCCTCAACCCTTGAGACCTTGCACTAGAGACGTTCGCTCCTTCTGTTTTCATGAAGAGACTCTCCGCCCTAGGCACGCACGCATTCAGACTGGAAGCGCTGAAACCCGAGACAACCAAACTTTCAAGCGCACGCTGTGCAGGCCTACCTGCCCACGGTCGTCCGCGACATTCTCTATGGTTGGGCGCGCGGCTTCGTCGGTGTCGCCTTGGCTAAGGCCAGGGACGGCCTTGCAGAACGCCGACACCGCTCAAAGCATCTGTGAACCTTTGACCACCAACCTCAAAATTCCATCACTTCCTCTACTCACATCAGAAAGCTGATTCTTTGTTCTGGTGGCATCCGGCTGGGAGCGCTTAGAGTCTAGAGACTTGAGGTGCGAGGTGTAGGAGGGCACAGGCCCCGCCAATCTGGGCCTCGCCTACAGCATGCAACCTCTATACAAGCGGTCGCGCCCGGAGGTGTTCCAGCCACAAACCTTCCTCCAGGATGCCTTCGTGTGGCCTTGCTGGCATCCTATGGCCCCACCACCCAATTCCGTCTCAGAGGTCTCTTTAAACTCGTTTGTGGGAGTGGCGATTTGCAGTTTTTCTGACGAGCTGTCATCGTAGGATCTAGAATAGGCCATTAATGATGATGTCGTGGCAGGAATATGATCATGGAATGAGTGTGCCTGCCTCTTACATCCGGCACCTTAAATCTCCAGGTTTGCGTTTGTGATC